TGTATTCCAGGCCAACAACAAACAATTGGTGCTCAGGGCCTATTTGGAATGTGGTGTGCATTTGAGAAACAGCAAGGCGGCCGGAATGGCTGGGGTGCAGAGAGTAAGCAAGGTGTTAGACGAGGTCAAGGGTGCGCAGGACCAAATCCCGTGGGACTTACTTTATGGAAGCTCAGACACTGCATTTTGCTTATTTAACTTTTCCTCCTCCCTCTCCACTCCATGATACAGGATCATGTTCACCTCAGCTGTGTATTTCCCCAGAGAGTAGCACTGGCCATGCATGGAGCAGAGAGCCAGGCCATTACTGATTGGAAATCTGGGACGACATATAAATAAATCCCTTTGAGCTCCTTGAATACTGAGACCAGAGCTAAACCGAATTGTTGGCTCATTTTTAGTAGTGAAAGGCTGAGTGAGGTGGCTTCGCAACAATGGCTGCTGACCGACCCTGTTGTAGTCTTCGGCCAGATCACAGTGGAAGCCCGACCCCACTCCATTGCAGCATTCATGAATAAAGCAGATAGAAATAAACTTGGGCTGGGAAGCAGCGCAGTACTGGGAACCGTGGCAGCAGCTAGCAGAGGGCGACTGAGTTCCTTTTGACCATGACAAATCAGTTTTCCGGCAATCTGGGGGAAGTAGTTCCCACAGAGAGTCTAAAAACTCTTCCCTGTTTACTCAGTATCACCAGAGAATTGTTGTAGAAAGTAACCCAATCGTGCGAAGCTGCAACTTTCTCGGGGGTTAGGTTCTAAAGTGGAAAGTGGATGTATTTTGTTGATTGAACGCCTCTGGATATTTAAATTATTTTGCAAGTCTATTGCTAACAACGTCTACTGATAACGAAGAATCTGCACCAGGCCATAAGGATGTAGATGCGGTCTTTTGTCAAATATTACTATCAGGAAGCTAACAGATTTGTCCAACTGCTTTCTAATCATTTGAAAGAGTTTGCTCTATCTTCACAAGGTTTTTGCACCTGTACAACAATGTACTGAGTGGATCTACTCACAGCGACCCTACAGGACAGAGTAAAACTGCAGCTTTGGGTTTCTGAGACGCCTAATTGTTACAGGAGGCAGAGTCTCCTTCCCCGGTGCCGCTGGTAGGTTTGAGTTCCTGAACTTGCTCCTCACTCTCTCGTCTACTACTTCTCTTTAACAGCACACTTTCCAAACCATGTCCCATGGGTTATGCTCACCAACTGCTCTGGGGTCAGAACTTACTGCTCACTGTTCCCCTCTCAAGGATATTCTTGTTTATTTTATTCCCAAGTGTGCAGAATGCCTATGAGGCTGGGAATGAAAAACTCAGAAGAAATCTGAATTGTATGATAAATGTAAATGCTAACTCAAAGGCATAAACACGTGTAACATGTCAACTGTAATCTTAAAAAAAAAGATTTTTGTTAATTAGCAAAGAACACTCTTGTTCAAAATTACAGCTTTCTCTAAACAATTCCAGCTTGCAGCCTTGCATGGCTTTCTAGAACAGTGGAGGTTTGTTTTCATGGGAATTTGGCTGCTTTTAGGCGGTGTAAGTATGTTATTTTATAACAGATCCCTTCCCTCCACTCAGCCTCACTTATGTTAGTTGGCCCTGAAGGTATTTGGTTCCTAAGGCAAAGTCGGAACCAGCTGTGGGAAACCCTGAGCTATGCACAGTCCTGGACAAGTGTTCATTTTCCCAGTGATGCAAAACATCATCAAAAGTAAACAATAAAATATTTTCCCGAAGGCAACTGTAGGCTCATCATTCCGCTTTCTGAAACCCTCTGGCACGAAAACCCTTCGGATTCAACGACTCCAGTTTTCGTCATTTCACTGGGAAGCTGACTGGGACCTAGAGAAGTAAAGCGACTTCTCCGAGATCATAAAACCAACTGCAACTTGTTTATACAATTGCTTTGAATTTATTTCCCCCAACCAGTCTGATTTTCTCAAGAAGGTCTAACGGTGCTGACTTATTTGAGCCAGCTCCAGCATTCTGTTTGGCGTTCTGCACTCAGTAAGCAGGCAAAAATCGCACAGATATGTGCTCTTGACAAACTCAGTTCTTGTTTATGAAGAACAGTCAAAACTCAACTAGAGGGATAATACAAGCAGTCATGACTTGTATCAAATGAATAAAGAAATAAGTGCAACTTTATTCCGGTGGGTAGACTCGTAGATGGTGGGCCCTCTTAAGGGTGAAAGAGCCAGTGGTACTACAATCAATAAAACAGCCTTTTAATTACAGACTGGCCGTAATGAAGGTCTTTTTACATAGGTAAGGGCGGTTCACAATCTAGTTCCATAGCGCCGAGTAAGCCAAAACCCAGCATTGCTCGCGTCAGCAAACCACCCATTTGTTCCTTAAATAAATCCATCTTCATTATACCTAAAAAGTTGGGACTGTAGCTCAGACCTGATTTCACGAGTTTTCCACACACATTACTTCACAAACACAGAGCTTCAGCATTTCTTCCACTATTTAGGCAGAATATCGAAAATCACCATTCTGCAAATTTCTCTTTCCCAAGCGCAGCCGACAGCAGGACTAAACAACTTGTAACACATCCCGCTGGGTGGCATCCAGGGATCCCTGGCAGCCTGCATGCTCTGCTGCCAAGGGGGGGGCTGCAGAAGCACAGCTGTTCTTAGTTATTGCTGATTTTTTCCCCTTTGCTTGTTTCTTAAACTTTCATCAGCGAGAACAAGGCAAATGTGGGTGGGGAGTTCTTGTCCTTGGACCAGACCCTGTGTTCCAACTAAGTCCAAGTGGTGGGAACCGTTGTTTCTGTATGTGCGTGCGCGCTATTTCCTCCTCCTCCTCTATCTTCTCTAGTATTATTATTTTTTCATGTATGCCTCTCTTTCTGACCTTACAGAATACAAGCTCAAATAACTCCCGCTGCATGCTTTGTGGGAAAGGAGCGAATGATGTTTGCACTCAGCCCAGGATACGGATAGGAAAGACTGAACCCAGAACCAACACTGGGGGCACAGAGGAGTAGAGGTTAAGGAAGAGTAGGTCACCTGATTTAAAACTGTTTTCACTTTTAAAGAGTTACCTTTGCCAGTCAGGAACACCAAAAATCAACAGGACCAAACGTAACTTTCTTGATAAGTTATATGAATGAGGGTATAAACCACCACCACCACCACCATCACCATCACCACCCGCCAAAAAAACCCCAACCACTGCCATTCAGTCAATTCCGACTCAATAGCAAGCCTAAAGGGTAGAACAGGACTTCCCTGCGGGGTTCTGAAGCTATAAATCTCTACAGGAGCAGGCAGTCTCATCTTTTTCCTGAGGGGTGGTGCCTGGTGGGTTCTCACTGTTGACCTTGTGTTTGGCAGTTCAACATTCAGCTCACTACATCCCCAGGGCTTTAAAAGAAGTACAGGGTTGATTCAGATAATACTGGAAAAGCTACAGATGAGCGCTCATGCATACTGAAGAATGCAAGCTGGGACCTGTCTTACACTCACGGATAATGCAGCCTGAGCATGTGAGGGCCAACCCTTGCTAATAGATACATGCTCCCCATTATCTGAGAAACAGTTTACCTAGCAGCTTAGAAGATCTCAGCAGTCTTGGGGCTCAGTGGCCCAGAGGGACCAACTCACTGACAGATCCTTGCAGTAGCTTTCCTTTGTTTCCCCAGTCTCGCCAGTCCTCAAGTCTCAGACTCAGTTTTCCCTGGAGGAATCCAGATTCAAAGTGAGATGGTCACTATTTTAAGAGAGTAGCACCGTTCACCAGCCTCTCTCCTACCCCTTGTCTGGGAACCAATGCTCCGAGGATCAGCCTGCAGTTCTAGCAGCATCTCCCACGTGCACGAGGAATGAAAGAGAGGGAAGAACCTATGTGGAAGTGGGGCTCAAGGGCATTTCTTTTTTTTGTTGTTATTTTATTTTATTTTTTTAAATCATTTTATTAGGGGCTCATACAACTCATCACAATCCATACAAACATCAACTGTGTAAAGCACAGTTGTACATTCATTGCCCTCATCATTCTCAAAACATTTGCTCTCCACCTAAACCCCTGGCATCAGGTCCTCATTTTCCCCCCTCCCTCCCTGCTCCCCCCTCCCTCATGAACCCTTGATAATTTATACATGATTATTTTTGTCATATCTTGTCCTGTCCGACGTCTCCCTTCACCCACTTTTCTGTTGTCCATCTCCCAGGGAGGAGGTTATATGTAGATCCTTGTAATCGGTTCCCTCTTTCCAACCCACCCTCACTCCACCCTCCCAGTATTGCCACTCTCACCACTGGTCCTGCAGGGATCATCCGCCATGTATTCCCTGTGTTTCCAGTTCCTATCTGTACCAGTGTACATCCTCTGGTCTAGCCAGATTTGTAAGGTAGAATTGGGATCATGATAGTGGGGGAGGGAGGGTAGGAAGCATTTAGGAACTCGAGGAAAGTTTCATGTTTCATCGTTGCTACATCGCACCCTGACTGGCTCATCTCCTCCCCGAGACCCTTCTGTAAGGGGATGTCCAGTGGCCGACAAATGGGCTTTGGGTCTCCACTCCGCACTCCCCTCCCCATTCATGATGATATGATTTTTTGTTCTGATGATGCCTGATTCCTGATCCCTTCGACACCTTGTGATCACTCAAGGACATTTCTTGAAGAGACCCTTTTAAAGTTAGAACAGGCAATTTTGAGTAGTCTCTAATTTATTTATTTACTTATGGATGTATTTACAGAAGAAATTTAGTCAACTCCCTATATTCTGTTCTCTAGGAACTCTTGTTAAGGACTCACGGAGGCTCTTCAAAGTGAGACAAGACCGCCTGAAATGACAGGACTAAACACGCATCACTCACAATGCACATCTGTATTGATACCTCCATCTCATCTACTGGAAGAGGTGGGTGAAAGGCATGAAGATGCCTTCAAGTCTGTATACTGCTAAATGGTGTAAGACTAAACATGGGCCAATAATCTTCATCCTCTATTAGAAGAATGTAAACACACAAAAAATCTACTCACACATCATTGAATTCTTCCAGAGACTTTGCAGGGGTAAATACATCCAACAGACCAATAACCTATAAGAAAGTATTAAGAAAGAAAGTAAATAAATATTGAACTTTTTAGCACCCATCAAGGAGCCCTGGTAATCCAGGAGTTTAGTCACTCAGCAGTTTAAAAAAGGTTGGTGGTTCGAGGCCATCCAGCAGCTCTGTGGAAGAAAGAGTTGGAAGTCTGTTCCTATAGCAGCTCAAACCCAACCCAACCCATGGCCAGGGGGTCAATTCTGACTCATAGCGACCCTACACGAGCAGGGTAGAACTGCTTCTATGGGTCTCGCAAGACGGTAACTCTACAGGAGTGGAAGGCCTTATCTTTCTCCCAGAGAGCAGCTAGTGGTTTGAGCTGCTGCCCTTAGAGTAAGGAGCCCAATGCATAACCATTATGCCACCAGGGCTCTTTCCTTATAAAGACTACAGACTAAAAGAAAAAAAACAACAACCCTATGGGGTAGTGGTTCTACTTTAACATGGTGGTGCTGTGTTGGCATCTCCTTAACAGCATCTCAAAGCATCAACAACATAGTATCCACCAGGCCTTAAGTCATCACTTTAAATCTACTGTTACTGAGTTGATTCTGACTCAGAACAACTCTATTGTTTCTGAGGCTGCAACTCTTTAAAAGAGCAGACAGCCTCATGTTTCCTGAGGAGCAAGTGGTGGATTTGAATCACCAATCTTGTAGTTAGAAGTGTAATGCTTACCCAATAGCATTGCCAGGGCTCCTAAGCTATCACTTTAAAAAACTCACTCTCACTGAGTGGATTCTGACTCATAGTGACTCGACAGGACAGGGGAGAACTGATCCCTAGGGTTTCTGAGACTATAAATCTTAATGGGAGTGGAAAGCTTTATCTCTCTCCATTGGAGTGGCTGGTGGCTACTGACCTGGCAGTTCATGGCACAATGGGTAACCTATTACGCCACCAGGGCTCCTTAAACACTCACCTTAATAGATATCAATTTCAAATCCAGTTACCTCTGTTCAGTAACATCACAACATCAAATATTAGTGATTCTAACCAAATTAGGCTCAAGTTTTTTACTTATGTCTTAAAAGAACATAATTTACTATTAAAAGTTGTCTCTTTAGAATTTAGTCACATATATTCAGTCATTTATCAGAAGGCAAGAAAGATTACATATGCTTTTTTCAATGGATTGATGAAGGGCAGTGCTATTTCAGTGATAGACTCTCTCACCTCCCCTGTGAGAGACTTGGCTTTCAGTGAGTGCAACTCATATGTGGCTACCACCACTGGTGGTGGTTTGCATGTTGCGATGATGCTAAACCAATTTTAGCAGAGCTTCCAGATTAAGACAGAGTAGGAAGAAAGGCCTGGTGATCTATGCCTAAAAATCAGCCAATGAAAACCCTATGAGTCTCAATGGTCTGATCTGCAGGCAATCATGGCATCCCCATAACATGAGGCAGTGTTTCATTCCACCGTGCTTTGGGGCTGACTCAATGACAGCTAGTGATAACATTAAATTATCAAACACTTCTCACGCTACATGTTCAAATATTAACTACTGTCACGTGCCCACCTTAATTACATAGATCAACTTCCCAAGAGGCCGTTGTGGTTGTTTCCCAAACTGTTACAAGCTAGTTGTATGTAGTACTACAAATGATCTAATTCAACTCCACAACATATAAATTGCCTACTACATTTGTCTTAGAACATCTTTGTATGCTTGAGAATTTTCATAAGAAAATATTGGGGGGAAAAATCAATAAACTGATATAATCTACAATCCAAAAGAAAGAGTTAGTGCTTCTAAGAAAAGTGAAGGGTTTGTGAAGGACTGGGGGTGGGGGGCGGGGAATGCTATCTGTGGGACTTATATTAACTTTACCCCCCAAGGATTATCTAGTCAGTCGAAGTGTCTTTGATGAGCAGCGCAGACCAAATAAAAACTAACAGGTTATGCTAATGAAGTGACTCTTTAAGGGTGGGGGCTGGCCAGGCCAGAAGGACCCACCATGTGATTATCAACCTTCTTGTGAGTACCTGGTGAGCTGCTAACCACAAGGCCAGCAGTTCAAAGCCTCGGAAACCCACAGGGGCAGGTCTAGCATCAACTCCATGGCAGTGAATGTAAGTTTTCTTGTTTGTGATTACCCTTTGATTATCTCATGATCACCTGGTAACATCACCTGACCTCAGAGGAGAAGGCTACTATTTAAAATAGGCAACGAGACACCCAACAAAGGCTCTGGGCAAAAAAGCTCCCAATCTTCATGGTTGGTGGAAGACATGCACACAGAGTGGGGGTTAATTAAAAAAACCAAACTCACTGCTATCTAGTTGATGCTGACTCATAGCAACTCTCAGGGCAGTGTACAATTGCCTCATGGGTTTGAGACTGTAAATCTTTGTGGGACTAGAAAGCCTTAGTTTTTCTCTGGTGGAGTGCCTGATGGTTTCAAACTGCTGACCTTTTGGTTAGCACCCAATGTGTGGCCACTATGCCACCAAGGCTTTTGGGGTGGGGTTAGTGCATCGATTTTTGGGACGAGGAACCTCCACGTCTGGACCCTCCCAGCCAGATCCCATCTTCTATGTTTTTCATTTGTATCTTTTTTTTTTTTCTGCACCGGAAGTGTAATTGCTGGGTATCAAGCTTTCCACTAGTTGTGTGTGGGCACTGAACTTGAGGTTGTAGGAACCAGTAGGTCAGAACTGAGGATGCCCACACCTGTGGCTGGCATCCTGAAGGATAGCAGGAAGCCTCAAATAGCAGATACTATGTTATAGGGAAGACAGGCCATTCAGGCAAGTTAAGAGGATTTCTCTCAACATTACTAAATGTTCACTAAGTGATGTCTATCTTGAATCCCTAATCTATAATTGGTCTTCCTAGGTTGTCTCCACAGAATCATATAAAAAACCCCCAAACTTTTCATAAGTTCTAAACTAAATTTTTAAAAGTTTTCTCTTATATACTCCATAAAAAGAACTACAATTACATATAGAAAACAAAGTCACATTTCTATAGGCATCATAGTACCATTCTGCATTTTAAATGTTAGTACATATAAAAGTTCACTACATAATCTTCTAAGTAGACATTTTAAAAAGCCACAGAATATTCTCAAAATGATTCTTGGTACTATTCTCAATATTCACGTAACTTTCTGAATCTCTATCAGAGATTTGGATCAGGCTATTTCAAAACAAAAACAAAAATAGAGGCTATTTTTTACATAAAAAGCTACTTAGTACTCATTGATAGAGCAGTTTTACCAACATAGACCCTCCCGTTCAGTTCCCTTTTATAACCTGAACTACTCATTTCTGCAATGTTAGCTATTTAGAAGGTAAAGAAGGCATTTCTAATAGAAGGGCAGGTAAAAAGTCTACTAGAGTTCTGGTTCCTACATTCGGGAGCTTATTTGGAGCAGAACATGTTTAAACTTGTCTCTGCAGTCTGTGGGCTACTGCAGGCAAATCTTCCCAGCAATACACTGGTCTTCGTCTCGTCAGGGAGCCTTCAAAAAGAGGTTCAATCCAAACAGTGGCTTCCAAGGGGTCTGGGGGCCAGTTCAACTCAAAGCAGAGAGGTCAGCTCAGGCAGGTAAGGCAACTGGTTTGGGGGACACCAAGGGGTCATCTTGATGGGTTTTCTCCAAGGACCAAGGACACTCATGGGGCTTACGAGGAGATCGTTTAAGAAAATTGGCAGCTACTATGGAGATAAGTCCAAGACAGCTGTGTCCAGGATCCTTCTCCGGCTGCAGCAATGCGACTACTCATTGTGCAAGGGCAGCAAGGATCATCCTTGGAAACCTCACCCCACCCACCCGACAGTCTTGATCTGCTCCTTCAGACTTCTTTTTGTTTACCACTTAAAGAACCGTGCAAAGGAACATGACGGAGTCGCTCGAGGACGCCCAAACTGCCATTCTGACGCAGTGTAAACCGAAGAGTACAGAATGCCTTGGGGAAACACCACCTTCAGAAGTGTACATGCCTAGATGTAGGGTGTGTCAAGAAACAACAGCTTCACATTTTGATATGCTTAACACGTTTCTATGACTTTTGTAGCCATACTGTAGGACTTACCCCTCCTATGTGACTGCGACACTCATTTTAATGAAGATAGATGTGGTGGTTGTACAATCCCCCTTGATATGATTGCATGATTGAACTACTCAATTGTATGATATGTAAATAATATGCCAAAAGACAAAACAAAACACCCCCCACACACACACCGAAAAAAAAGGTAGGTTAAATCCAGTTTCTGGTTTTCTCCCCTTTAAACTATAATTACTTCCTTTAGCCAACTAACCCACCGCCATCTAGTCCATTCAGACTCATCGCAGCCCCCAGGGCAGAGCAGAGCTGCTCATTTGGGGTCCAGGGACTGTCCATATGTATGGCAGGTAAGCAGCCTCATCTTTCTCCTGTGGAGCAGATGGTGGCTTTGATCTCAGTGACCCAATGTTTGACCTCCTTTGACACCAAGGCTCCTTATTTTCTTTATGTGGAACTAAAAGCCAGCGTTAGTCACAAATTCCAATTTTTCTGATCACTGGTTCTTGTTATCCTTAATCTTCCATCATCTCAATAAGAAAAGGTTAAAACGATTTACACTGTTGTGAGTCCAAAATTATTCTCAGATCACAACAAAATGAAATCTGATTCACAAACAAAGGCAGCCCAACACACTTTCAAATAAAAGCTTCAATTACAATGTGAAAGTACAACAAGTACTTTGGAGTCAAACCGCTCCTCGCTGTCAGTTTGCAATTTCTTGGCTCTGCGAGTTTGACTTTTTCTTGCCAGCGGTGCTAACATGCCTGGCACAAAGAGGCAAGACTTCAGTGCCTCTTTCTCAAGTACAGAAGAAAGTTATCTCCCCCAGGTCTTCTTGTACTTATATGAAAGACACGGGTGGGTCACTGCTCTCTTTCCAAGGAATCTGTCTGAAGGCATTGAGCACACAGGGGAAGGCACGGCTGACACACTGTGGAACACCCTCAGAGTTTTATTAAAAACAAACAAAC